TGGAAAGATAAAGGGTTCAAGTACTCTTTTGCTAAACATAGAGTTCTTAGCATGACGATGATATACGTCAGGGGAGACTACACAACATAGGATTTAAATGAAAGGGATGGATGATTTTAAATCATAGTTACGGCCTTGAGAGATTACCCAACTCACTAGTATACCTTTCTAAAATTCAACTGTTTCTTTGTTGTTGTTGTTGTTATTGTTTTGGTTATTTTTGCTGTTGTTGTTGCTGTGCTGTTTCTGTTGTTGTTTGTTTTTGTTTTATGTTTTTTTTGTTTATTTCCTTTTAGAAATTAAAAAAAAAATTTTTTGGGTGTATTTCCTTTTTTAAAATTTTTATTGTTTGTTCATTTTGCTCGAAACGACTACAAGTGACTTAAATCCAGACACTTCCTTTTTTCTGACCGCTTTGTTTTACAATCTTATATATGAATCTGCAAGCTTGACAACTAGCCCAGTGCATCTCATTGTGGGTTAATAAGCGGGTGACCATGGTTCAAACTCCAATTCCAAATTGAGGTAGAGTGGGTGCATAATTTTAGCAGTAGTGTACGTTCACTTTTGCGTCCGTCTTTATTTGCATTCAGTTCAAGTTCAATTCAACAGTGCACTCACAGCTTGGCGCCAACATCCCCATAACGGAAGTGGTGTATTACGTCATCGGAGTCCGTGTGGAGCCTGTTATGGCTGCCGTCCCAGAGCCGGTGGTCAATGGTGGTCACACACATCAAAGGCATTCTGAGATAAGCCGCCAGTACGGTTGGGTAGTTGGGAGAGCTTGTGAGACAGAGGTGCCTTCTGTGTTGGGATTTGTTGGGTTCACAGGTCAGAGGTCAGTCCCTAGAGGATGTGGTCAGTGGGTGAGTGATCCTCTCAGGGAGTAGAGAAGGCAACGGGAGAGTGAACAAGAGAGGAGGAGGAGGAGGAGGAGGAGAGAGAGAGAGACAGAGAGAGAGAGAGATAGAGAGAGAGAAAGAAAGAGAGAGAGAGAGAGAGGGGAGAGGGAGGGAGGGATGGAGGGATAGGGAGAGAAAGAAGGTGGGTAAATAGAGGCAGAGGTGCGCACGGGAGACGAAGGAGGGGCGGGAGAAGATGCTATATAGAAAGATATAT